CTTCCCCTTTCAAAGAAAGCTGCATCAACGCTGACTCCTAGTAGATAAAAAGACAACAGTAGATATCTACTCCTACCTTCCCCTTTCAAAGAAAGCTGCATCAACGCTGACTCCTGGTAGATAAAAAGACAACAGTAGATATCTACTCCTACCTTCCCCTTTCAAAGAAAGCTGCATCAACGCTGACTCATGGTAGATAAAAAGACAACAGTACTCCTATCTTCGGCTAAAAATAAGATTCAACAGTGTCTAATTTCGGGAACAGTAGCGTCTGAAGGCAGGAGAGTTTGGAGTCCATTTTTGACTTCGATGCCGATGTTGAAAAGCAGCTCTAAAATGATGGTTTAATTAAACAACAAGTGAATTGAAACGAAAAGGGTAGGGACAGCCATGGTGACAGGGCCTGCCGGTGGCGTAATGAGGCACATCCATCACGGGTACCGCATATCTCGGCACCCAAAGGCTTGTGCCGGTACTGATAAAAATTAAATGTTTTTTCGTCAAGTAAAGTACATTGTATTACCATCATATCGGTAAACCATTTCTTAGACCACTCAATAGACACGCATTTAGATGGAAGAGATTTAAAATGAAGCAAACCTTTCATAAGTTGTAAAAAAATAAAAATGTTTTGAAAAGTGGCTTTAGAATAACCTGACCACAAACGACCCGTCTGAAACAGATGAGGTTGTTTTTTTTCCTTAATTCTATACATGTAGCATAATTTTGACTTTCCTCAGCCAAAATCAACAAGTCTCGTGTCAGATACGGTAATAATGTGCTAGGCAAAAAAAAAAAGACAATTTTGTAACAACGGCAAGTATCAGACACCATCTCATACACATCGGTTGTAACAGTAACTAACAGCACCAGACACCAAGCGCAGTTCAGTTGCAACAGTAACAGATACTTTCTAGTACAGTCCACTTGTAACAGTTCAGATACTGTCTTGTACCATTCAATTGCCCCTACAGATTATATCAAATATTATCTAGTACAGTTCAGTTGTAACAGTAACAGATATCAGATATTATCTAGTACAGTTCACACTTTGGTAGGCCATAAATTGACCCGGCCCTGTGACGTTCAGATACGATATGACTACATGTACTTCATGTGAACACAGACACCCCACATCTCTCACTCCGATGGGGGCGGGTGGGGCGGGAGGGGGTGGGGCTCGAGTGGAGGATGGGGCGTGTCCGAGCCGGGGACAATGAGTACTCAGAGCCATCAACTCGGAGTGTCTTGGTGGAGTGTAGCAGCACACATCGCGCAGGCACGCCACATCGGGATGTGGCTTTTGTGAAAGCGTAAAATTTTGCCAGCCAAAAGGGATGTCTGAAAGGAGGCTATTTACGTTTCAAGAGCAACGTAAATTGATTATATTTTGGCTCCCCGCGATGCCGATAGATTTCAAAGACACGGCAAGCGAGCGCGGGCCGGATTAAGGCATTTCATTAAGGATGGAAATTTGTCGCATGGACGGTCGCGGCGAAATCGCGGTGCCTCCATGTCTGAGCCGCTGAAGCTGTTGTGTGCTAGTTGGAGCGTTTTTGTTTGTTTGTTTGTTAACACCCGCGTTGAAAGATATGGGATATGCGTGACGCTTAGGCAGAGATCGGGCCTATTATCGAAGCATGCGTCGAGCGGACGGCTTTGGTTGATTCGTGCTGCTCGAGAGCCTAGAGTGTCCTCCGTGAACCCGCTCCTCCAGAATGTTGCAATCAGCATAAGTCTGTGGTGTAATGGTCAAATAATGGTAAAGCTTTTCGTCGTCACGTGTAGAGGGCATGAATTCGATTCCCGGGTAGTAGGGAGACTTTTTATGGGGTGAAGAGAGAGGGGGAGAGAGGGAGAGAGGGAGAGAAAGCATGAGAGAGCGAGAGAGGAGAGAGAGAAAGAGAATGAGAGGGCGAGAGAGGAGGGGGGAGGTGAAGAGAGAGAGAGAGAGAGAGAGAGAGAGAGAGAGAGAGAGAGAGAGAACCTTGGTCATGTGAAGTTTTCACGGCTCAGCCTATTTTGGCTCGGTCCTGTCGAGGGCAGACGTTAAATTTTGGTTTTAGTAAGTGTTTTACGCACTTGCAACACAATAAGGTCATATAAGTGCCGAAGATTAGAGGTGTTACAAGAGAGTAACAAACACAAAAAGAAAAAGGGGGGAGGGGGATATAGACGATAGATGTTTGATACGAAAGAAGAAGCACATTACACCAGAGCACCCGCCAACCACCCACGACGTTAAATTCGGAGGTCCAGCCTCTAAACAAGCTAATAATAATAAGTGTTAATAGGGGCATTAAAACTAAAACGTTTTTTTGGGTATTGTTTTTTTTACTTAGGATTCATGTATGTGTAATTCATGTACATGTATTATTCTTCTCTCTTGTGGAGCAAAAATATGTTACTTTTAGTAAGGGTAGGCCCTACCCACAAATTCCTAACAAAATTCCCCAACCCTGAAAACGACTAAGAGTTAAAACTCGAGGCTTACTTGAGAGAATTTCTTTAGTATGAGTATGAGTGAAGAGAAGCAGTCGACACATTATCGGTCATACTCATTCATAGCAATGAGAAAAAGTAAGAATGTAAGATGGACAGACAGAAACAACAGAGGGAAAAGAAAGTACGGTACTCTAAAGACGTCTTTT